CTCTCTCCCTGCTATCCTGGTCCCTCCCTCAGCACCACAACTATCAACCACCCAATTTTTAAACAGCACTTACGGTTCTGCCAGTATCCCCAGGGTGTAGAGCAGGCAGCTCAGGAGGAAGAGAGTCCCCATTGTCATGGGAGACCCCCTGAAAGGTGGATTCCTCTGGAGGGCCGGTCAGGAGAGAAGGTAGGGTGCAGCTTCTCTCCTTCTGAGGTCTCCAGGCCGCCTGCTGTTGTTGCCGTTTTCTCCCGGGAAGCAGACAAGAAGCCCCAAAGTTTCCTTCCTTCTGCTTCATTCCCGTGTTTATAGTGCTGCAGGCACAGGGTTGTACCGTTCAGGATGTTCCCCAGCCAATCCAAGTCTTTTTGGACTCCAGCCTCTCTGCTCTCCTACTCCCCTGTGGATGGACCAGTATCATTCAGACAAATTTGCTTTTTATTTTGCTAAGCAACAGCACGTTTCCTGTTCACTGCGCTGACCCTGCTCCCCGTGCCAGTCGCAGCCCCAGTCCCATTGTTCTCCCTTCGCTGGATTGTCCCACCACCCCTTGGCATCTGCGCCCAGCTGGAGCTGAGCTCTCCTGGTCATGCTGTCCCCGAGCTGTCTGAGGCTGTAGGTCCCCAGGCAGGTCTCAGTCTTGAACTGGAGGTCAGGCTTTGTACAAAATAAGTCTATAGGCATAGCGCTCTGCTCCTTGGCGGAGTGCTGCCTTACCCGGGAGGAGAGCACAGAGAGCAGGCAGAGCTGGAGCCCTCGCCTTACCTCTGCCCTACAGGTATTTCAGTGTAAATCTAACATCGGCGGTTCACTCCAGCTATTTCACACAAGTCCTCTGCAGTCTAGTTCAGAGTCAACTTCCACACGCACCCACCGATGGAAAGGAGGGTCGAACATCGGTCAGGCAGGGCAAAAACTGCACGGCTCGAGCCCTGCGGGGTTCTCTCTAGCTACCAGGAGACTGTGGCTCCAGCCCTAGGTGATGGGAATACACACTATCTAGTTCAGGAGCTTCTTTCCGCCTGCTAATTTTATTCCTGTTAGTCTACTGATTTACACTGAACTTTTGCCTCGGTGTCTTGCTATAACCGAAAAGAAATTCTGGTTCTTGAAACTAGTTATTCTTAAAATAAGGAATTTCTTCTGTTTTAGTGGCATGGCCATTTCATATCAAAATGCACCACTAAATTATCCTCCAGTACCAAACTGAGCTCTTAAATATGTAGGACACAGTAAGATTTTCCTTTTATTTAGCAAAGACTGATGCATAACAAGGAAACTAGGGTTTGGGGCTTTTTTTTTTTTAACCCCCTCCACACACATGGAGGGCAGATACAAATCCTCTCTCCTTTTTCTCCCCCGCCCCATGCTGGGCTTTGTTCAGCTCAGAGCTGCTGGTGCCAACAGCTGAGAAAAAGGTGTACGTGCACCTGGATAAACAAGCAAACAGGAACCGGAGCAAGAACATGAATCACTCTCCGACATCAGGTTGCCCTTCATTTCTGTCCACGAGTCTCACAAAGTACAGGCAGTGCCTGCTG